AAATTATGGACTAATCCAACATCACTTAAATAGATATCAAATGTTCATCAAGTTGTAATGATAATCCTAAAAGGAAAAAGTATTGAGCTATGTACCATTCACTTAGATATGATAATTTGTCTATACATGCTATAATTGTAAAATAAAAAATAAATGCATCCTTCGATTATGTAAGTATTAACATAAAAAGTAATTATTATATTAATTCAAAGTAACTTATTAAAACATAAATAATAAATAGTGAAAACTCAAATAAAAGTTCTTCAAAATAAGCAACTTTCATTCATTTTCTTTATCTGTAGTAAATCAGGTGAGTCACTAGAAATTATTAAATAAAAATTAATATACTATTAATTCATATATTAAAAATAAGGAAAAAGAAACCTAGCATAAATATATCAAAATTATATTACATTCATTAAATATTCATGTTATTTTTAATTTTGACTATGATTTATAATAAAATACTTTTCTACATTTATTAATGTTATTAGTAAATTAAATTAACAATCTTATGATTTTTAAGAAGGTTAATCTTTTGGATAAAATATGTATAATGATTCCAGACAGCAAAAGCGCCTGTAGCTTAGTGGATAGTGCGTCTGTTTTCTAAGCAGAAAGTCGTAGGATATACCCCTATCTGCCGCGGCATTCTAATTTATTAATTTTTTATTGTTTTTTCAATTTCCATTCCACTGAAAATTCTAAATTAATTAAAACATTTTTGCAAAATAAGTAAAATAGATTCAGATAATGAAGAGATTTCCAGTTTCCCAAATCTTCACTTTCACCATAAATTTTGATTAACTCTGATAACTACACATTTACTTATATATATACTTCCATTAAATGCACTCAAACTATATGTATATATATTCAAATTATTACAAATTAAAATAATCTTTTGAAAAGAAAAAAAACCAGCAATCCTTTGATCATCTGCTGTTTATTACCTCCCTACTACCCCTCAAACTTTGATTCTCAAAGCTGTCTCGAAACCTTGTTTAGCACATCGGAAGATCACTCGGAGGCGGTTCGATCGACTCGTTCGGGCCTTCCCCATTCTCCACCAAGAATGCCATCTTAAGTCCCCATGTTGTATGAACTTCCAAATGGCAATGAAAAAACCAGACCCCTAAACAGACAGACAGTCGCATGATGTTGGAACATGGAACATGTGTTTCATTGCTTGTTGTTAAAGCAAGCTGAATAGACTGTTTATGAAGAAGACATTGCTTGCTACGGAATTATTGATTAGAAAGGACAATTTTAAGATGCAATTTCTTTTTCAATCAATAAGATTTGATAGTAATAACCTGGGTCGGGTGCTATTATAGACTTCCCCTGGATCTCTAGTTGAACTGTTGAGTTATAGACAGTTTGTATATCTTGGTTCCTTTTGTTGTTTGTAGATTGGATGGTGGGGCTCGGGTATAATCGAAAGGTGTCAACGGCTTTCCCGGGAAATCATCAGTGAAAACCCCGTTTATGCCGTAGTAATGTGTTTGAAGGATAGCCGTGGTTGGCATGACGAAGGAGACGTTGTTAATTGCTGCTACGGCTCGGCTTCCGTTGAAGCATGTGGCACATGGGTTGATCCCGGCCCCAATGATGAAAAGTAGCGAGTGATCGATGGCTAAAGGGAGGTTGGCTGGATATTCTTTCGAATTAAGGCTTCGAAGTGAATTCGAAAAGACCGTTGTAACCGGCGTTGCGTTTACGTAAGGAATGCTGAACATGGTAGTTGGAGTACAGGCAAGGGTGCGGTTGTAGCTTAAGTATCCAATTCTTGTTTCGACTGCAACAATGGTGTCCATGAATGGAGATATGGCTATTAAGTACTTCTCGATGCCCTGATCTGCTTTAAGAAGTGCAGTTGTGGTTTGTCCCGGACCGAGAGATAACATATCGGTTTTAAAGGGTTTTGTGTAAGCGGCATCAACTTCGACGACGATCAGATTGTGGTATGCGATCTTGAAGAAGAGTTCATCGTTCACAGCCGCATTTACAACCCGAAGCAAATAGGTCTTTCCGGTTTCAACATGTAAAGTATACGCATCTGCATTCACAAAAATGATGCAGCTTTGTTAAATGATTAACATCGATAAGAAGAAATTGCGATTTCTGTGATCATGATGCAACCAAACACAAGACTATATAGAGTTCAATGCTAATACCATCAGAAGAACAGTTAGGAACCGGTCCCGGATGGCCATTAATCGTGTGTGCATCCGATATATTCGGAGGCAAACCGGTTTGCGTTGCCTGGTTCACCACAGCTTCGGTTCGGCTTTCCACCATTCCCCTATAAATATTGACATATTAGTCTCGCGAATACGTTCTACGCCGGCAAAAACAAGCTTCGAGGTGCCTCAAAAGGCTGAAACTCACCTAATACGATGACTTTTTCCTTATCGGGTTTCGGAAAAGGGTAAGGGACACCTTTCTTAGGCAAGTAACAATGGCACCATACATGGTTGATCTCAACCAGGAAATATGTGCATGCCAAAGGAGCGTGCCTCTTTGACCAGCTAATGTGAAGTTGTAAAGGAAGTTCTGGCCTGGTTGAACCGGACACTGTGTGATATATGCGGGTCCCAACCGGTTCGAAGCTGTCGGACCTGATGCAGGGGGATCCGAGACAGATGATGTTGAGCTGTCAGATTGCACGTTGATGGCGCTGAGATACCATGAGTTGGCAGATCAGCGCAAAGGCGGAAATTGATTGTGACATGTTCCTCATTGGGGTCGTTTTGAGTATGTTTCAGTCTTTTGGCCATAACTTTGGCTACAGGTGTCAGAATCACACATAAGACCCCAATCCGGAAAGCTCTTTTCGACGCGCACGCTCTCCACATTGCATGTGGCCTTTTTTTCAACCTCAAATTCTGCCGTTTTCCCCTCCGAATCACTAGATTTAGTTATTTTTTACTATTTATGGTAATATTTCGATTGTTAATTAGGAAGTCAATTTAAATCCGATTTAGGCCGGATTTTTGGGAGATTGCTTATTTTATTTCGAATTTCAATTTAGAGTGATTTTCAGGATTTTGCTATTTTTGGCAAAATTCGAATAAAGACGATTTTTTTGCTATATAACAGTCCGGCTTGTGGACTGCTTTTTGCATTATTGGATTTTATAATATTTTATTAAACCCTAGAGACTTTTTTTTCTCTGGTTTTTTGGCGAATTTTCTCTTGTGAATCGTCTGTCGGAACTAGCCTACAGGATAATCACTATTCTGTCTGGCGTCAGGACCCCATGCCTGCGACATCAACAAAAAGGCTCTCAAAAGCTGCAATTTTCAGACTCACTTGAGATCTTTGTGATGGACATGCTTACCAGTGGATCGTAACATTGTATTGAACATGATTGGTGACCCTCACGAGCATAAAGAGTAGTCCCCGGAAACTTGCCGTTGACGGTCACAATCATCTTGGTGGAGCAAAGCTTCGTTTCGTTTTTCAAGACCACCTAAACCGGATGCAATACATTTAGTAGTTTATGTGACATAAGAATATAATCATAGACAACATTTAGACATGATGTTTTCTTTTGTGGAACTATCGGAGGATCATCATCACCGGAATCATATATCATTCTATCGACAGACCAAACGACTTTCTGCCTGCAATAGAACCGACGACACGACGTACTACAGAACAAAATATACTTACATCGAAATGGTAATGCCGAATTCTACACTCAACCAGTGCAGGAACCAAGACCGACATAAACAGCAATGTTTGAACCCAAGAACCCATCCTTTCTGCTCTTCTCTTACATCAACTAGGTTCAGAACAATCCAATGTCATAAAACCCTAAACCCTAAACTATTAATTTCTTCCAACCTTACCCAAATCATACACTTTTCGGGTAAAATGAGAAAATAAAAAGTAAGAAAAATATAGGTTTCACATTTAATAAAAAAATGACCAAATTTAAGAATTGGGTATAGTTCAGGGACTAATTTACTGATAAATCTTTTATTTTCTAGTTTGTTCTCACTAATAAATTACAAAGACTCTTATTTTAAAGGTGGTGAATTCATTTTGTTAGTTAAAATCCTTGCTCTTAAAGACAACTAAAATTGATACTTTATCCATTAGTAATTTGTGGTAAGCATATCATGAAGGACAGACAGACATAAGATTTTATTTTAGAGCTAAACTTATAAAATTTTATAAGGAAGTAAATATCAAGGGATGAAAAAATATTAAAAATAGAAAATATATAAAAAAATCTAAAATATAAGAGAATTTGAAATTTTCAAGGGGTGACTGCCCCCACATGCCTCCCTCGGTCCATCACTGTGTTCAATGTCTTTTCATTATCTTTTAATTCTTATGAAAGAATGATTGCATTTGACATAATAACAAAATTGACATTTATGAACAACAATGAAGGTTAATGATATGTTTACATGGATGGATCGAGAGCGGTGTTAGAGAGTCGTACTCTTTGAAAATTTTAAATTCTCATATAATTTAGGCATATCCTTTGTATTTTACATCGATGATCTAATTTTATATTCCTGATATTTTGAAATTTTGTACCCTCAAATTTCTAATATAACTTCTTAAAGGTCCACATCCTTTGATGTAAGATCTTACGTTCATCCTTGCAAATCTATCATCTGGTTGTGTAAAAAAAACACACTCTCGTGAAATCCGAGGGTGCGATACTCTCACGTCCGAATAGATAATTGAATACAAAATTTCAAACATATGAAAAATCTTTAAAAGAATTTGATCATATTATATTGGACATGTATCTATCAGGGTGGAAGCTGGGAAATCATTTTAGGGGCTAGAGTGAAGTTTAAATCTGAGGGAGGGGGCAAAGTGAAATTTTACCATTTATATGTAATGATACACTGAAATTCTAATGCCCTGTAATATAGCTCATACCTGGCATTATCATTTGATTGTACCAAATCCAGGGCTTAACTTCATAGAAATTTTCATTCTCTTCTGGATTTTAATTCTAAAACCTGTCGAATTCGAAAGTCGAAATTTCATCGTAATTCAAGCATTTCATATCATTTCATCCACTATTTCCAGAACTTCTATATGGGAATTACTTGAGAAATTTTGAGATAATTAAGGAACAAGGAAAATAAGATGTCAGCAAAAGGTAACAAGTGAAACATTATTGTTTAAGCAGTAGCTCCAACAGGGACCCCTGCACCACTGAGCCTCGACGATCCGTATAGGGTTTCTTCGAACCGGATAATTTCGTTCTTCGAACCGTACGCAACTTGAGTTCGATCGTCAAGGTTCGTGATCACTTTGTCGAGCACTGATTGTTGACCGTCACTGCTGTAACCACCGGCTTTCTCAATCAAGAACCCCAATGGAGCTACCTCAAACAACAATCTCAGCTTGGCCTTGGCAGATGGTGAGGTCACATTTGTAAATATACCCTTCTCTTTTACAATGATCTGTAAGGGTAAAAATAGAGAAAAGAGAAAACAAATAGTAAATCATTTAAATTTGACAAAATATTTAAAACACATAATGACCCTTGAACTTGATAAGTTTGATCAAATTAATCCATGAACTTTGTTAAAGTTTAATCAATTAACCCCTTGATTGTTTTATAACAACTTATAAGTTCAGGGGACAATTTTACCCAAAAACGTTGAAGGGCAATTTAACTAAACTCGTCATATTCATGAACCAATTTGACCACATCTATCAAGTTCAAAGGCTATTTTGTGTTTTAAGCCTTGACAAAGTATAATTTAGGCTTAAGAGGTATTTTAGCCTTCGTATTCGACTCAAATTATTAATGTTGTTCATCCACAAAAATGCATTAAATTGAGTTCTCGAACTCTTGAATTATATTAATGTCGTTCTTTGATGGTCGAAACTATCGTTGACCGTTATGATGTTCACGTGATAATCCACTATGTTGATGTGGCGGTCCACGTGCGAAGGATGATGTGGCAGAGGAGTTTAATTGATTTAAAAAAAATTGAGAGAAAAAAAATTAAACCCTCGAACTTTCTATAAAAAATGAATATGCACCTTTATTGTATCATCATTCACATGTGGATCGTCGTGTTAATATCATGAACTGTCACATCAATATTTTGAATTTTCATATCAGTAAAATTAATTGTCACGTCAATAATGTAATGATCAATTATAATTTTCGATGGTCAAAAGATAATATTACTGTTATTCGAGAGTTCAAAAGTCCAATTAATAAATTTTTAGTCGAGGGATAATATTGGTATTTTAAATTGAGTACAAGGACTAAGATGGGCTTACGCCTATAATTTAGGATGAAAATGAAAGGATATAAGAGAAGCATGGGATATACCTGGTTGACATCAGGCACCATTCCACCGGTGTACCTCAGTGTGTATTTCTCCCTCACATAATAGTTGATCAACTGTTCCATTAAAGGGTTGAAGTTGGTAAATTACGTACATATGTTATTCGAATTCGGACGTGAACACGGATGTTATGTATATATATTTTTAAGAAGGAAAAAAAAATCTTTCTTTTTCTCCCTCCCCTTAGATAGGAATTGTTAAAAAAAAAAAAAAAGGAAGAATCGAAACAACATTGCTCGATAAAAGAATACGAAAAAGTTATGTTTGAACCTTATCATATTCAGGGTTGTCAAATGTCGCTCTCAAGTTTCCAGGGGAGAACATTTTCCCTTCACCAATCTCGTAGGTGTCCTTCACATGCTGCCATTTTCCTGATGAAATGAATCAGTGAAGAACATAAATTTTCATGATTGCATAATTTGATAATAAAATGTTGTTGCAACTTCTAAATACCTTCATCAAGGAGGAGGAATTCATGGGTGCCAGGGACGTCCTTAAGTGCGAGAACGTATGTGGTTCGAGGACCAAAAATTCCCATCGCAGCGGCGACTTGGTCTCGTCCCGTTACACCGGTTAACTTGTCACCCGGCCAGACCCCAAAGATGGTGCCTACGGTGAAATTTGTATCGACGATGCTAGAACCATCGAGCGGATCGAAAGCGACACTGAATCCTCCTGTTACATGTAGTGATCAATTATAGCTACACACATTTCAGGCTTACTTGAGCCATAAGAAAACGAGAAAGAAAAAATTGCAGACCTTCAGCAGGGCCTCCCATGTCTTGAAGCTCGGGGACTTCTTCGGAGCACGCGTATTTGCAGAAGTGCGAGTACGTCAAGGCCTATACGTTACCGATTATAACCAAGAAACCGTTAATTTCTAGAGAATTTCATCGAACACTTGGACGAAAAGATACCATTTTCGAACCTCGAAAAGAAGCTTGTTGGCGAGCATATCAACAGCAAGCTGCTCATCTCCAAAGGAATTGACACAAGCAGTGCCTCCACATGAAGCTGTCCTCACTTTGAAAGCAATTGTTCTCAATGCTTCTCCCATGCACATCATCAAACTAATCAATCCTTTATCTGATGTCGATTTCGTAAGAAACTCTTCCTACAAAACCATGTATTAAAAAACTATTCGAAATCGAAACCAATACATAAGACGACACAGACCGATAAGTAAACATACCAGACTGTCTCCAATTTCACATTTTGTCACAAGGGAAGTGTTCTTTGCCTTTGTAACCTTCAATGATGATCTTGGCACAACCCTCAGCGATTCGCCGAATATCGAGCTCGATTTAAGGCTCTGCAACACATATATACCATGGTGAATGCAAAGAAAAGAAGCTATACATGTATGAATGTATGTATGTAGATATGTATATGATTATGTACCCTTGAGGTGAAGGAGGGAGAAATTGATGGAGGGGACACTAATGCAGTGGAATGCTTAGAGGAGACCGTAGGAAGAACAATCCCATGAGCATAGCAGGTGATACCAGTCTCCATTGTTTTCTCTTAGAATTCTTCAAGGAGAAGAAGCTTTTGATTTTGAGTAGGGAAGATAGCAGATAAGAAATTAACCGTGTCGTGACACGTGGCAGAGGAAAGGGTTGGCTATGGTGAAATTAGCATCTCTCATTTAATGTGTGGCTATGGTCCAATATTTGCAAAGAGATTTGATAGGGAAAAAGGCTTTGCTACATGGTAGTGGGAAGCTTTGTTTAATAGCTACCATTATCGTTGATAGAAGTGAATAAAATTTGATTTGACTTTTTTTAATTTTGAGTTATTTAAATTGATTTATTTAAGTCAAATAAAATAAGTGAGTTAGTTTTTGAGTTCAAGTTAAGTTCGTATTTTCTAATTTGAAAAAAAAAATTCAATTGTTGTGCGATCTAGTCAAATTTTCTCATCTCTTCAATTCAATAACTTTGTTCATATTTTATCGTTTTAAGTCTAATGTTTACTAAATTTGAGCTCACATGCTCCTGAACCACTTTAGAATACATATGTATATTCAATTCCTCTTTTTGAAATCAAATTTCCTCTTTTTACAATTTAGTCTCTTAACTATGCATGGTTTTTTCGGTTCTCCAATTCTTCCTTTGTTTTAAGTTCATTTTTATCAAATCTGAATCACATGTTCCACTATCACCATAAAATATTTATGTAACTTCAATTCCTACTTAAAATCAATTTATTATTTTTGCAATTTAGTACCTCAACTTTATATTTTATTCAATTTGATCATTTGATTGTACGTTTTTTTTATAAATTATTTGTTCTCATCAATTCCTTGACTCATTTATACTCCCATCAATACTTTTCCTTAAAATATCTTATTTAAAAACAACATTATAAATAAATTTTATAATTTTAGATGATATTTAATTTATTAAGTAACATTTCAAATCTACTTACACAAGTAGAAAAGAATACTACGAAAAATATATATGTATATCTTATATGATTATAGAAATTCGTTTAAATTGGAATAACTGTATCATAATATTCTAAATAATTACAATAAAATTTGAAGAGAAACTCGAAAATATTGACTCAAATTTTATAAACTTAACTCAAAAATTTTAAATAAAATTTGAATCATAAAATAGAATTTGTTAACTCGACTCGATTAAATACTCATCCTTAATATGAAACTGGAACCAAAATTCTAAAATTAAAAAAAATACATGTACTAGAAAGTATCAAATTAAGAGGCCGTTTGGGAATGTTTATGGAAATGCTTTTGGTCCAAAAATCCTTTGAAACTCAAAATTATTCTCAAACACCTCATTTTCAGCCAAATTTTCACGTTTCAAACGAGTTTACTGTCTCAAACTAAGAAATTGAAAAAAACTAGTTTGGAGAAACACTCCCAAACGAAGCCTAAACAAAGTATATAAAGACTAATGGTATAATTTGACTTTAATTTTTACTTTTTTTTGGAATGATTAATTTTATCCTTTTTGTTTAAGTTTTGAAACTAAATTTGGGGGGGGGGGTTTATATAATTTGAGCCCAAAATGTACGAGTGGGTTTTGGGATTAGGGTTTACCTAGAAAATTCAAACCCAACATGGATTGGAATTACTCAAAGAACCAATCTTTTTGAACTTCACACCCCGTTTTTATGTTAGAGCAGAAATTGAATTACAAACATGTAGTTGGTAAGTACTATTGGTATCTTTTTTATTTAGAGTTTGAATTTTATCTTTCTTTTAGTTATAAAAAATAGTATAAAATTTTGTTAAAATTATATTATTTTTCAATTATTATATCATGTTTATGTTAATTTTAATTTTTTTAATAATATATGATGATTACAAAATAATATATATTTAGATAAATATTTATGAAACTGCTTATGAACAAATCTCCAATAGAATAAGATAGAATAATTTAAACTAGGAAACAACCTCAATAAAGTCAAAACATCTCGTCTTCCCAACAATATTATTGGCGTGGTGGATCCTTATAGGGCGTGGTGGATCCTTATAGGGCATGATTGAAGTGGTGGACCCCCGAAATGAAGAGATTTTGGATTTAGAAAACATAAAGATATTTTAGTTCCTTGAGCAAACCAATCATAGCCGTTCATGGTGTCAAAACTCACCAACTACCCTTGATACGGGCAAGAACTCAGACAAATGTCACATGTTTTAAGTTATCATCGTCCTTGTTAAAACCCTATTGGCTATCATCAAATAAAGGAGGTCTCTCACCACGAGAATGACACAGTTTCCCTTTACTTTTTGTCTTCAAATCACCTATGGACTTTGATGTTTGATGTTTCTTCAGATGCCTTTCCCAGGTTCTGTCTCTGATCTCTCTTTCGGTTTGCCTTTGTTTTAAGGTTTTGTATATGATATCTGATAAAAAGAACATCATCTTGCTTGGGGTCTGCTTTGTTTTTGTGTTGCATGGTGCTTTCCTATGTTTTTTTTATTCTGAAACTGATGTGTTGAGCAGTGCGTTGTTTCTTGGTTAGTGGGTCAGGTTGATTTTAGACTGGATTAATCGTGTTCGGGTCAAATTCGGATTCTGAAAAGTTTAAGTTATATCTTGTTTGGATCACTTCGAGTACAGATCATTTCAGATTGTAGGTCACCTTGAGTTCTATGTTGCTCTAATTCCAGTGCAAGTATCCGATATGAATAGGACTTTTGGAGGTTATATCTCTATAATCAAGTGTGGGACACGGATACGTAATGAAAAATTAAACAGTCCGTTAAATTCAATATATGTCTAATCATCCTGACCTCAAATCATGTTTTGGTTTGGGTTGAACGGATTTGGATTGGTTACTTTTTATGATTAGATCGAGTTGATTTACATTTAGATTCAGGTTAACCTTATAGGGTTTTCGAGTTCAAGTCAAACCCGAGAGATATTTGAATTCATATTGATTTTGCAGGTAATCCTTCTATGATTTGGAAGGGAACTAAATCAGGAGCCATCTGCAGCCCTGCAATCAAGCTAGATTGAATCAAACAATGTCTGCTTATGGCCATCAAATGGAGCGAGAGTTCTCCGGCCAAAGTCTCTTGAGTCCAGGAGACAGTGGTATGCTTTTAAGTATCCGCAATGCCCGGACTGAATTCGATGTCTGATAGATATATGCATATTAATCTTTGCTCGTACTCGTAAACTAGGAACGGAGATCGGAAGCCGTTACATCATCGAGTCGGGATTCTACATGACATCTTATGCTGCAACAATCTTCATTGCTGGTCTTCTAATCATTGGGGTTCTATTAGTAACATTGGTGGTTTCATTAGCAGTAATGTTGCAATCATGTGAGAGTCGGAGCAAGGGGATGGTCGAGATCGAGAAAGAAAGAAACAGTCACCATTACTGCCAGATTCTCGCGCTGCACGGGAAGCTCAATGGGTTTAAACCCGATGAAGTTCCTCCCGTCTGCAGGAGTCTCGCTGTTAGACATATCGAAGCAGTAGGGTACACAAGAGATTTGGAGTTCACAATGCGGATGATCGAAAGCTTTTTCGATTCCATTTCGCCATCGAACGATAGTGTGGATGTGGTGTTAATGGACATTGATGACATCCTTGCTTCAGATCCTCGGTCGAACAAACAGGATGGCTGCATCGAAGGCGCAATGTATCGGAAGCAACGACGGACACTCGAATTATACATGAAACTGCATTTCAGAGGATGGTCTTTGATTCTGTTATCGAGGAAGCCTGAGAGACGACGAATTGTTACCATTGAAAACCTTAATTCTATAGGATATAGTGGTTGGTCTTCTTTGATTATGAGGTACGTATTGTTATGTCTGAGGTGCATATATTCAATGTAGCTGGTTAAAATTTTCCGGGAAATTTTTTTCAGGTCAGATCGAGAAACGAAAATGGAAACAAGCGAGTACATCTCTAGACGAAGAAGAGCATTGAAGGAAGAAGGGAATGAAATAATCAGTGTGATTAGCAGCCAAATGGATGCTTTAACTGGCTGGTCTTTGGGAATTCGTGTATTTAAGCTTCCAAATGTATCACAATTTTGATAATCACCTTGAAAACTGCAGATTTTCGCACTAGATTATGTGTTCTTGTTCTTTGTATAATGTTCTTGCTTAGTACATGCAATAAAGAGTTTTTACAAAATTCGATATTCATATTTCAAACTACATCAAATTAGAACAACTATGTTCGGACCGACTCGACCCGAGCCATGTGCATCCTCTAATTCCATGGATCATTTAACTAGCTTAGTGGCCTCAAAAGAACTAAACTGAAACCTCAATCACCAGTAATGGCAACTCTGTTTCGATTAACAAAACAAGCAAAGCTGCAACGAATTGAAATAGTGAAATGAAGGAGAAAACCATATGAACATCAACATCTAAACCCAAACTCATAATCTCTTCTACAATAGAATCACAGCTAAAGTGTTGAAGAATCTTCAATTGCCACTCCTAATTTCCGCAAAAAATGAAAAAAGTGATGAACACCAAGAAAATCGCCATAAACCCAGAATTCTTAACTCCATCAGACATCTCCAGATTGTATTTTCGAGTCATGTTTTCAGATAAAATCCCCCATTTTCTCGCTCTTTGCTTATCACTGCCGGCATTCTCATGATCCATTAGCTCATAAACATAAACCTCGGCAACCCCATCTTTCTTCAATGGCGTACCGACCCCTGACTTCAAATGCCTCACCAACCCTCTCAAATACATCTCCGCGTACGCTTCGTTCGCCTCGACTTCTCCAGCTTCGCCTCCGCCGCTCGGCCATCCGGTTTCCGCCACGATGACCGGTATACTCTCGTATCCCATCACGGCTATCGACGTCAACACCGCGTCCGCCATCATGTCGAACAGGTTGAAATATCTTACCCCGGTAACTAAATCGTCCCGGAAATTGAAAGGATAGTCTTGGAACAAAGCGAACCCGACCGGGATTTCGCTGTCGAGACGATAAAGATTGTAGGGGTAAAGGTTGATTAAGAAAGACGAGTTCGTTTCTTCCAAGAATTGGAGCAAAGGTTTCACAATCAGATCGCCAGCGGGCTGTTGGAACTCGGCGGAGGACGGAGGGAAGGCAGTGGTGATGGTGGAGAAGAACGAGAATGTAGTGGAGACCGGGATTTTTTTTATGCCCAGCTCATGGAGAGCCAAGTGGAGGTTCCTGATTGCCGGGAGCAAGTAAGGGGTGAAGTCTTCTTCTGCGACGGAATCGAGGACGGCGTTTCCGACGGAGACGAGAGTGATTTTTGACCGAGGGTAGAAAGGAAGGACGTGTTTATAGAGCCAGGCGAGTGCGAGGGAACGGTTGGCGGCGATGGCGGGGAGGAGAGGGTTTGGGATGGAGAGGAAAAGGGAAATGTTGGTGAACGCGAAGGCTTTGATGAGTGATGGGTCGGCGTCTGGGAGGCGGACGGCGGAGATTTTAAGGGAGGTGATGGTAGTGGAGATCTTGTCCGGAGGCGGTGGGGTTGATGCGGAGGAGTAAGTGACTCCGATGGAAGGGAGAGAAGAGGTTAAAGTGACGAAGGAAAGTAGGAGGAAAATGAAGAGAAAGGAAGCCATTGTTTTCTCTTTTCTGTGTGTTTTCAGCTCTGTTTTGGGAAGAAACGAAGTTAATAAGAGACAGTTAGCTGAGTTCGTTACTTTAGGCGGGAAATTTTAGGTTAGGATTCCATGCAGAAGGCTGTACGCTTTGTTTTCATCTAGCCCTTCATTGTTTAGGTATATATATGTCATGGGTCTCTGTACTATTTCAAACTTTACGATTCAGTCCTTGTACTTTTGTGAAGTTAAGTCGTGTTCTATTCTTTTACATGGTTAATCAGTAAAATAAGGATAAACCTCGAACCTGTGTTGCTTTCGCTATTCATTTGTAGATCTGAAATGGTATACATGTATGTACGTGAATTCTCCGAATTGAGTTTTACCTTTGGTATATATGAATGCATGTTTCTCCGTATGTATGTCCGCATGCATGTTAAACATGTTGAGTACTTTTTTATAGGCAAGTTCCCTGCGATGCATGTATCCATCATATGATGATATAGTCATCCATCATCATACATCCCATAGCTGCAGCTGCAGCATTTCCTAGAACCTGCAAGAGAGAAAATCTCAGTTTCTGGAAATTAGCGGCATCGGTTACACAACAGCTTGGAGCCATGTACAGAAGGAGGTTCACGGAATTCAGCTTCTCGCCAACATAAAATTACAACTTTTCAGCATTCGTTTCCCAGTCTCTGAACTAACATAAGGCATCAACCGAATAGAATTTTACGAAAATGAAATTGGAATTGTATGAAGGTGGAGATTCAATTAACTTCACAGGATCTGATTCAAAAATTACCAAATAGAATTTTACGAATATGAAATTAGCTTCTCATTTATCAAAACAAGTAGCTCCAAATACAAGGAAATAATAGAATTTTGAAAAAAAATTAGGAGGAAAAAAAAAGATTTTGAAGACGGAAAAGAAACAATGTGGATATTTCTCTGCGAATTTCATTGAGAGGATACTAAAAATTTGTAGTTTTATTTTATTATTTAAGGAACTATTAATTAATTAAATATATTCAAAATTTAATGTCATGAACCCAAAAAATAGTTAAAAAGACTTTTATAATATATCTTTCAGATATTTAATTTATTGACTGAAAAACAGAAAGAAAAATCATTCACTTTGAGTGTACTTTTTGTTTGATTTGTTGTTATCAAGCGAGTTTATTAAGACTTCCCACGTCCACATGCATGCACCGTGCATGTATTATGTAAAACGCAATTTACTTGAATTAAAAGTAAACTTCTAAAATTTTACAAGTTCAAAAGTTACAAGTTTGGCAAATTTAAGCACATAATGTCCTCTTCATGCAAAACATATATACATCGAAACTCAAAAATCTCTATGCTTGATAGTTGCCACATTTTCTTTAAAATCTTCAACCAGGCCTGCTCAAGAGTAAAACTACCCGATTGATTTCGTAAATCCGATCTGTGTGCATCGGATTTCGAATATAAGTTTCATTAACCAGGGCCAATGCAAACATGTTGAATTCATATTTAATAACTTTTGAGCTAACAACTTGATATGGAATCTCCAAGAAGTTCAAAAGTTGCTAATTTGTTTCATGAATAATTGATTAGCCAAAACTTCAGAGTCGAGAAAAAAATGTCAAAACAAAAGCAGAGTTTCATCTACCGAAACGAAACAACTGTTCGAAAACACAGACATTTTGACAGTTTTGTAAAACCCGGAGAAATGCAAGAGTCACTTGGGTCGTCAGCTGCATGCCGTCAAACATCTATAGACAACTGCAAGGAAAGAAGAAGACACAACTTTAGGGAGATTGTTCTACAAAGGAAAATGTTCATAATTAGTTATTATAATGTTCTCACAAGCAAGATACCGTTAAATGAAAGCTAAAAATCACAATAACAACAAGCCATACAAGCAAGATACTAGACTAAAGGTTTATAAGGTTTTTGCAAGGATGTTGAAACAGCAGAAAACTACAAAATCTGGGAAAATTAGTAAAGCTGCTTATTCCAAATGTCCAAAGTTAATTTCGAGGTCTTATAATGAATCATAATTGATGCAATCATTATAACGTATAAACAGCAAACAGAGTTCACAGGCAAACTGAAACCATCATTAATCATCTTTTGCAACAAGCAACTAATCTTCAAACTGAAAGTTACATTCCTCAAATACAAACCAATAACTTCAAATTAAAACGAACCGACAACTTAACTAAGAAAGATCATAAACCGGGAAATTGATATTACCTCAAATGTTGCTGGGGTACATGAAGACTCTGACTCTATCTCCCTGCCAAGGAACCAAAGGGTACATGTAAGACTAAAAGCAAAATGTACGTACACCCAATAAATAATAACAATATAACACACTTACCATGATTTTGGGGGAAGGTTGGACTTGAACTTAGCACGAACAACACCACTGTTCCCATGAGGTCTGGCTACCTTGCCCCAAATGCAACGATATTGTGAGCCATTCTTCTTCACCTTGGCCTTGTAAATATAAGCCATTCGCTTGCCGGCATACCAAGCCACTTCCTCCTTTGTGTTGACCCCCTCGATCTGGATAAGTGAAGTGTTCGGGTACTGGTTCGACTTTGACCTAACAACAAGCAGCACAAACAAAACCATAAGCACCAATCTGAAATTCAAAGAACACATTCAATCATCTAGTTTACCATAATAATTAATCTCTCTCCCCAAAAACAAATCCTGGAAATTCAATCCCACCCTTTGCTCTAAAACGTTAACTTTCTTAACCAATGAACACAAAATATGAAAGAAAATCAAACACATTAGATCAACTAATTTTACTCATACACTAACAAAACATTCAATTTCTGTAAAATCTCTCTCTAATTTCTAAAAAAGAAGCAGAGCTTAAGATCAATAGAAATGAATTTCAAGTAATACAAAAAGTTCAAAGTTTTATCACCTCTTGTAACCCAAGATGGTTCCTCTTACATAGAGTCTGCAAATATTAAAATCGAAAATGGAAAACAGTGAGTTAAATAAAAAACTGTAATAAAATATGCAAAAACCGGAAACTGAAAAAAAAAGGTTTTGAAAGGGGTGAATGTAGAGATCAAAACGGACCTGACTCGCTCTCCTTGGCGTCCCTTCACCATCTTTTCCGGTTTGGAGCTGAAGCTTTTACTCTGGATTCTGATAAAGGTAGCTGCAAAAGGGTGACCCTAAAACCCTAATTATAAGGGGTAAGGAGATTTGGGGAATTTATCTAAGGTGGCCGAAATTGAAGTGTGGTAAGCCCAATGTATGTATATAGATGTGGACTTGGGCAGCCATCGATATCAAATTAATCGATTAATAAATTAAATATTAAATTATTACAATAAATTATACATTATATTATTAGAATACTCTCGTTTCTTAATCAAATGGTTCACTTAAATCACACCACAAATTATGTATATATAACACACTACTAGAGCTATATAATTTAATTCTTGATTATTTGGATTTCACTGATAATACTGTATATTATAAAATATTCATAAAATCCATTCAATAATATTGAATATCATAATAATGTCATAAAATCACTTATTTTAATCTCTCGAGTTTATTCAATCCCAATTAAAAAGATATGATAATTTATTCGGACCAACTTAATCCAAAACAATTTCATTTTTTTTAACTCTTATAATAATTTCGGTACTCTAGATTTCAACATTCATATTTTTCTACAATGATACTTTATGTACAAGTAGTCATTAAATGTTCGAATTTAATGCTTGTAACGTGATTCATTTCCTCCTAAAAAAAATATAATAATGATTATCTAAAATATGTAATTAAATTTCAGTTCCTTTCTATAACATTTGAACACCAACTCTATAGTAAGCTACTAACAAGAATACTAACTCTTATTCAGCAGCTAGCTGAATCAGAGGTTGCAAGTTAAAAAGAATACACTCCTCAAGATGAAAAGTCACTCGAGAGACAACCCGATCGGTTCATTCGTAAGATTTCAAGTTCGAATTCCAACATACGCAACCCGATCTATTCTTAACTTACGTCTACTCATACATCGGCGAATATATGATACGCCTTGGAATCCACAGCAACCAGCCTTATACCGGCAATTGTTGCTGCCAAAGACATGAGACCAAAGAAACCGACATTGAGCCAATGCCAGAACTGTTGCAAGGAACTCAATTTGTGCTTCTTTGCCACGAGGTACATATGGTTTGCGAGGATGAATGTCAGCGGGAATGTGCTCAATGCTCCCGTGAGGGTCTCGAAGTCTCCGAGGAAAGGAAGAAGAGCAGACACCAGTGTACTTACAGTAAGGTAGCTGCCTCTCGCTATTAGTCTGAATATAATGTTTTCACTTGAACGAACTACCCGTAACTCCAAACTTTGTGTCTAAATACTCGTAAGCCGGGCATGCGAATCTCTATGGCAATGAGAAAGGTGATCATGGGTCGTTGAGGTGTTAGCTAAAACCGGGAAATACAAATAAGAATACTTACATGCAAAGCAATAACAAGTAGACCGCCGGATATAATCTAGCTAATCTAGCTCACCTGTATCTCAGGAAGCATTCCGGTATTGAACGCAAACACAAGATTCGCAGATGCCCCTATGGTTGAAAAAACCCTGTTGGTGGTCGATTTCCAATGTATGGTATAATCTCTAGGCGGCGCATTCATTCCTATAACGGAATGAAATCATTAATGCCATATCAATGCATCAAAAACCATAAATTTACACCAGCAATAAACGTGAAGAACAAAATGAGAATATCAGAGTTCGAAATGACTCGACTGATTAACACGAACTAACCATGCAAATAGGTTTCAAGGTAACAATTTCCGTCCACGGTTCAGTTGCCACTTCAGAGTACTATGATAAACTTTCCATGCAATTTTAGAACTTACCATCCTTTGTTGCCAGCACACACGCAACGATGATATATATCAGGCTGAGAACAGTCGAACATCCTAACCATATTCTTAGAGATGACAGATGGGGTGTCAAAACTGCAAACAGAATACACACAAGTCCTTCTATGACAATAAAGTGTGGAAGCTTCATGCTATGCTCTTCGTTAAAAAGGACATAACAAGCCTGCCTCACATATCCGTATGTTACAGATAGCCGAGTAAATGTCAAAATCACAAACAATGTTCAAATCATCTTTATTATAACATTCAGGTCTTACCTTTAAAGCGGAACCGCCTAGAATGAGATATCCGAGGTTGATCATGAACAGATTGACGTATTGCAATGCTCATGTAATGTAATATGATTTCCTACCTGTTGAAAACAATAGGCAAATCAAACAATAATCGAAATCAAAAACGTTACAATGCTAATTAGGCAACTGCTACCATATATTTGTGCTGCAAGTTCTCAGTATCGGATATGCCTCTTCCCGTCGAATTCATGGAGTTTGGCAACAAGCATATTCGTATGCAACGATATCGCAGTGGCTAAAAGCAAACCGACTACACCTCCGACCCATCCGAGAGGGACCATGATGGTTCCGGAATATCCCAGGACAAATACACTGTTGATACCAGTGGTCAAGACAAAACCTGCCTGGAACCATGAATCTGAAAAGCCGCACCAAAGTAATGTCAAATGAACTCGACACAAAACCGGGGCCTAGTCCAATCAAAACTCACAAGAAAACATTGAAGAACTTGATTTCAACAGGAAAAATGTGGTGAAATCCAACAAAATATGCAACAGAGTAAGGTCAAATGAACTCGAGACGAAATTGGAGCCTCTTCGGATCAAAACTCACACAAGAAGCCATTGAAGAACTTGATTTCAACATGAAAAATGCGTTGAAATCCAATAAAACATGCAACAAAAGACCATATAAGAATCATTATCAGAATAAAAAATCCTAGAAACATGAACTTTTGTAGCATCAAATACAATACAACAAGAGAAACAACAAGTGAAAGTGTTGAAAACCAACAAATAGAGAAATTGAAAATTTTCAGAAAAGTGGAACTTCGTGGCATCCAAATACGAAAGAAAATTACGATCACAAGACCCAAAAAGAAACTACTTTTCACCATGCATACAATAATATGAACAAAATTCCAGAATTAAACAAAGTGTTGCAATCAAATTTGAAAAAGAACAATTTTTTAAAATACCAGTGCTTATTTGGTGGGCGGTTTCAGGTACTTTCACAGTCAACTTATCATCTTCCTGATCATCTCTGCTTTCTTCCACCATGTTTGGCTCTTCCTTTCCCTCCTCCGCGAAGAGCCAGACAGTTTCTCCTTGTTGGTCTCCGTTTTTATCTTCTTCCGCGAATATATCTACGAACGCCGGGATTGCTGTTGGGATTATACCCTCTTTTTTATTTTTTTGCAAGTGGTTGTGCTACTGAATTCAATGTCAGAAATTTGCACAGTCAATTAATGACTTTGATTCCCAATAATTGAAAGATTGTGGGGTTTTAGCAAAGAATCAAATCAAAGAAAATCTGGGTTTTTTTTTTGTTAAAGAAACAAATTTATTTGTGTTGTTTGGTGCGGGAAAGTAATGTCTCTCTATCTGATCTCCCTGTTTCACTTCCTTTAAGCACGCATATCCACGTATATATACACACACGTGTATAAATATATAAAAATTAATAAAAATTAAAATAAATAATATATTATTCGATTAAAGTAATATTTATACTATCAATAATTTATTATTTATTTTAATGTTTAAATATCATCGATATTTTTTTTATGATTCGAAAATTATAAATACATATGTTTATTTAAAGTGACAATTTAAGTTTCTAATTTTTGAGTTCATTAGTAATTTTAATGATAAAAAGAATAATATTTTTTGTAGAGATCATTCATTCGAGCAGTTATATTTATTAGAAGTATGTGCATTGTTAATAGGTTAAGAAAATTAGAAACACATCTATTTAAAAAATATATATTTTAATTTGACCCTTTTAACTTTTTATACTTTAAATAAAATCCTATTGTTAGTCCCTATACTGGATATAAGTTGTACATTTATTTTTTCTTCTTCAAATTGATTATTTTTATTTCTTGTAATCTATTCATATTATCGTCGTAGCTTTTGAATTATGATTGAAATTTAAATAAATTTTAGAAATTAAAATTGATAGAATTAGAGTATAATGACTAAAAACACAATTTATACATAATATAGAGACTAATAACAAATTTTTACTTTTCGACAAACTAGTACATGGTAACTATACATTGCAATTACTTTTAGTAATATAATTGTACAAACAAATTATCACAAATAACATTATCTTTGTGATAAAATTACTCATAATAATCACTAATTTGACACTAAAATTCTTTATTATTATAGTGATTGATGAGAATATAAAAAAGTTAAAAAATTTGGTGGAAGAAATAATTTGTGACGAATTATAATTAAAGGATTAAATTGAATAAAATGTAAAGTTGAAAGATTAAATTAAAAGAATAAAATTTATTTTAAAAAGTTAAATTATATATGTATTCTATTGTTATAAAAGAACAATATATATTAAATTTGATTAAAAATGAATTAAAAAAATTAAAGATGTGAAGAATAAAATAATAATAAAATTTGAATTTGGGAGTTTTAAGAGGACAAACGCGACCATATGATATGATTGGTAGACTTTTATTTGTGTACCATCAAGGAAAATTGTGGAGGTCTTGTCTCACTGTGTCAGGTGACTCAACTATGGCATCTTCTCGAACCTTATACAGACAAAAAGGAATATGGTAGAGGACCTAAAAAGTATTTTAAATCAAAAGGTGGTACGTTAAAGCTTAATCTGTCTATCTTTAAAATTATGAGGGACCTAAAAATAGTTAAACCAATTTTTTAATTTCTTTTTTTGGATATGGCCTTTCTCACATTACATATATCTCGTTCATATAGTTGATTAAATTCATGGTGTATTGACAAGAAATATTATATTAATTATTATATTTTAAATTTATTAAATAATTTTTGTGATAAAATATGATGTTACTCTTTTTAAATATTTTAGATTTGAATAATTATATCGGTAGGATATATGTCTTGCTAATGGTGAAGAAAATTAAGAACATATACTTTGGAAGCATCTAAAACTATTAAAAAATTTATTAATTCTTAAATTCGACGTGTAATCAATTTAATTATGATTTGAATATGGCTGATATTCGTCCCTTGCTTTGATGATTAATTATTTTTACATGGCTTACTTTGAACACGAC